CTGGATTTGTGCGTCTTATACCGGCATCACAGAAAGATACAGCGGAACGCTCAGCAAGCAGATTATTTACGGCTTGGTCTTCTATCTTTGGCCTACCTGAATCCATCATTGGTGACCGGGATAAGGCATGGACGTCCCGCTTCTGGCAACGGTTACATGAGTTGTTAGGAGTTCGAATTCAGCTGACAACCTCCTATCACCCACAGGCGGATGGTCGCAGTGAACGTTCAAATAAGACTATCGGCCAGATCTTGCGGCACCTCGCCGCAGAGAAACACGGTAAATGGCTGCAAGGTTTACCTTCGGCTGAATTTGCTATCAACTCAGCCGTGAACGTGTCGACTGGCGTCTCCCCGTTCCATTTTGTTTATGGTCGTGTCCCAAGACTTTTCCCAATACAAAGCCCATCCGAGGACGACAACGAGGATGTAAAACACTGGATAGAACGGCGGGAAGTGGAATGGGCTACATGGCGAGACCGACTGTGGCACAACCGTGTGGATCAGGCCTTACATTATAATCAAAGACGCCGTGAAGGAGAACCATTCAACGTAGGTGATTGGGTTATGGTGGATAGTGCGGACCGGCAACAAGTGGTAGGGGGTAAGGGTCGACCAACAGGCAAACTACGAGCCCGGTATGACGGCCCTTACGAAGTACGAGAAGTCTTGAATGCAGGTCGTGATTTCAAATTAGATCTCCCATCCAGCGACTCAACACACCCAATTTTTCACATTTCGAAACTGAAACTCTACCATGGCGATCCAGACGCGGAGGAAAACATTGCGGCTGTTAATACGGCTTCGTTGCGTCGGAAAACAACCCCGGGAAATCCGATGGAGGAGCCTTTGGGGCATGCTACGAAACGTAACGAGGGGGTGTGTATCGAATTAGATACTTTAACACCCCCGCAATGTGAGTTCGATACCCCACCCTTTCCCTACATTCATGACGCAGTTGGCAAGCTTGCTTCTCTCCTGAATAACAGTGATCACGCTCGGGACGAGGATTTTCAAGGAAAGGCTTTGCTTGAAATGAACGGTTGCAGTCCCGTAGATGACTTTGTCACGGCCGAAAACAACCTCATTCGAGCAGGATTTGGAAGCCAATGAGGCAAGCTAGGACGTTTGACAAGGGGGTGTGTATTCAAATTGATGCACTAACACCCCCGCAATGTGAGTTTGCTATTGCTTCCTTCTATCTCCTTTTGCATGAAATGGCTGGCAAGCAATATTATCTCCTAAATAACAGACTTTACGATCACAAGACGAATAACAAAAAAGAAAAAGAAGAATATGACAAATTTATTTAATTTACCTCAAGATTCGAAATTCACATCAAGATGCAAGATTTCACTTCAAGAAAAAAAAAATTATATCATTCAGAACACTCAAATTAAATCAATTTTATACTATTTTCAATATGAATTATCGGTTTCCTTTTTTTCCTTTTCTTTTTTTTGAATAGGTTGCTTCAATTTAATTTTGCTTTCACTGGGACGAGTCATGGTCACTATTTTGGGGCGAGTTATGCCATTTTTATTTTTTATTTTGTGTGGAGTGTTTCAAATTTCAAATGTTCACATCAATTCAAGAGGAGGCTTAATTTTTTAGGAAGGGAGGGTGTAAGGAGTATGTGTAGACGTAGCAGTCATGGGAATTGTGTCATGGGGTTAGACAGGGCTCATATTATGTTTCTTCTCAACGCCCGGCTTCGGAGAGTCCTCACTACTCAGAGAGCCAATTGTGGGACTTTCTGGAGCTAGGTGAGTTTCTCTTCATTTTGATTGTTTCTTTCTTTCTTTGGTTTCTTTTACTTTGTATGGTGTCGCTGACTACTCAGAGAGCCAATTGTGGGACTTTCTGGAGCTAGATCGTAATTTTATATAACGAAGTTCCAAGTTACATTGTCCGTAGTGCTCTCTCGAGGAGTCGTGCCGGAAACTTATCCGGACTCCAGTGAAGGTTCTCATAGAACCTTACACATTGGTATGATAATTACCACGTCAGTTTAAGTTGGAATCCTTGAACTCCTTGCAATGAAAATTCTACTGCTCTGCTCATAAGAGCTAACCCTTGGCTTCCATCTCCTGACACTGTGATACTATTCCTTTGATTGGCTTCAAACCCAAACCTTTGGCATGTCTCTCTCAGCCACCTGCTACAAATTCAATATCAATCTCTTTCTTGATCCAACTAATTTGGTTTTTTACTAAGAAACGCTGGTTGCAAAATTGAATACATACATGCTTCTGGTTTGTTTGAGGATCTCAAATAATAAGATCAAACAACTTGGTAAATTTAGTTGCCAATGAGTGAATCATGTGTCATTCTATGGATCAGATCAAGGGTTTTGTCAGCATAATGCTTTTTGAACTACTCATGGCTTATGATATCTGTTTCAACTTCAAGCAAGGACCATGTAAGTTCTTTTCTCTTACCAAAGATACATCAATCTGGCCTTTAAGACTTTTACAAATGAGAAGCCTACTCCAGTCTGCCTCTTTGGAGTCATCAAGAGAAAAAGAGTGCTTTGGCCTTTGGCATAATTTGTAATACATGAGGTAACCCTTGCTTATTTTTCGCTGGTCTGTATATAGGAATGATTCAAAGCATCACATGGTTCCATTTGCAAAAAAACTGGGATCACCATGGATGTCAATGAGGCATTTAGAAATGATGAAAGATCAATTTTCTTTCAACTTTATGTGCAGTCAATCTGGTTTCTCACTGTTTGAAAAGTCTTTACAATTGATCTCATCATATCTCTTGATATCCTATAATTCTGGATTATATGAATGAACTCGTGAATTTGGGTACATACTCTGTCAGTTGAAGCTCATGGAATATTATCACTCCTGCTTTTAAAAATCTTGGCTCATGAGTACTACATTACTTTCTTGAGCTATTGGAACAGGGTATTCAGTCCTTCAAGATTATGATCAAGAATTAATTCAATAGCAAAGAAAGTGGTGTTGGTCTTAGATTATTTATAGTCATCATCCATATTCTGAAAGACATGTATTGTTCCTCACATCTGGACCTAAACCAAAAAAATGTGTCATACTATAGCTCAAGTGTTCATCAGGTGAAATGGTCTTGGTAATCATGATCCAAGATTAATGTAGCTGTATGAAGAAAGGTTTGAGAATGTAAAGCTATAAAGGTTCAAAGTATCTCACTTTCACCAAGAGGCTACTCAACAACACATAATATCTGCAGCGCATAGACCTACACAGCCTGTCTACAAAAGGCACTACAACTTCAAGCATAGTTAAGGTGTGTTACATCATACAGCAAAGTGAGATCACAGCTCAACCACTGAGACTTTATGGGAAATGTCAACACCTCATCTAACAGGGAGAATATGCTCTTATTCCCTGAGCTGTTTTTCAGAGTAACTCATGCCACACTTAGTGTTCTGTTCTTTGTTTCTCTAAATTGCATCTTCCTTTGTGGTTCATCTTCAAAACAAACTACAGTCAAACCCCTGTATATCCATACCTCTCCATGGTAAGCAAATTCTATGGCTATGGAGGGGTTGTGTCTTTGTTGGGTAGACCTCTATAGACATACATTGCTATATATCAAAATCCTTCTAAAGACATGGAAAAAATAGGTTGAGCTCCCAGCTGATCTTGATGAACATTACAACAATTCCCAATGTGTGTGATCTAAGGTGGGTTTGTTTTGTCAAGTAATTTGGCCACTGTGGCATTGAGTGCTTACACTTTTTTCATTCTTGAGCAAATGTTATCTAGTTAGACAAGGTCTTTAGGGACTTGTCAATTGTATTCCAACATTTTTTTGCATAATTTTTATAAATTCAGACAAGTTGTTTGTGAAAAAATCTTTTTACAACAACATATTTTTAATTTGGGACACCTAAAAAGGTGCTGTAAAAAATTTACACACATTTTACAACAACGGGCAAGTTGGTGCAGCATAAAGATACACAAAGAAATATAGCTTGGCACCTCCTATTATATTGTATTGAATTGTATCAAATCATATCTTTATGGCCATTGCAATTTGTTGGCAGTTGGATTGACAAGAATCTGGCTCAGCTGGTCCCACAACACGTTTTGGGGCAGTGAGAGTCTTGTGGCAAGTGTGTATGCTGTCCAGTAGTGAGTCCAAGTTAGGTAGCTGCTTGTGCATAATTTGCTTGCTCCAGGGATAGATATCAGAGCAGGAGTTTGACTATGTTTAATTCGGAGGTTCTGTGTGGGATTTGTATGGGGGGTTTGAGTTGATAAAAGTGGAGTTGATGGGTATAGGATGGAGCAGAAGGTCTGATTGGAAAGTCAATTGGCATGACTCTTAGTTGTGTTATGGCTGAAGACAGCTAGAGGCCTATGTAGCCTGGCCTACAGCACTGCCACTGGGAAATGAGGTTTTCACTAGCTGTGAAAGAGAGGGGGTGGTAAGGCTACCAAGGGAGATTATGGGGATATTGGGATCCCTTTTTTGTTTGGCTCAAATGGGGCATCTTATGAAAAGCTTGATCTAGCTATCTTAAATAAGCATTGCCTATGTACACTATTCTACGTCAGAGCATCATTTTGACAATGGATCTCCATACGTAGACAGGTGAAGTTATTGCAGATGACGTTCTCCACTTCAGAGCTTGAAGGCAAAGCTTTAAGCCGGATTGTCACGGGTTAATGGTAAATTTGTATCGCATGGAAACGTGCCGGTCCTGCTCAGAGTACCACTCCAGCTTAGAGGATGAGCTCCCCGATATAGGGGCTGAATCACGTCGAGGGGACTCAGGAGAAATCGTGGTTGGTGTGAAGCAAATCATGAGAGGCAATGCATTGGCATCAATGTGAGCAAACCAGTAAATTTCATCTCAGCATAGGAGTTCTAACTTGCAAGCGATAATTGGACGAGTAAGGCATGATATCCTGATCACTCTCAGAGAAGGTGAGATATCTGAAGAGGCCCAAACTGCTGGTTGTGAGGTCATTACGAGGGCGATTACACTGTGATTGAATAGTCACTGAAAGGAAGGTTTGCATATTGGCCACTGAGAAACTATTTTGGGTAGCAAAACGCATAGGTCGACGCTCATCTGATCCGTGATGACATAATTGGTAACAACGTGCAATGTGAGACCGACAACCAAGACGCACGAGCTCGAGGAAACCAGATCTTGGGACCGAATGAAGCGTTGACAATGAAAAGCCTATGAAGTATAGCTGATTACAAGTTGACATACGCGCAACAGTTAACACACAGATCGTATTCAGGTTGAGGCAGGAGTTGAAGGTTTTCGTTTAGCAACAGTTCCTTCTCGGAAACCATTCTTGAATCGGCGGGAGACAGTCTTGAGGTATCTCATGCGACCAGTACCGGTGGTGTGACGGCGCTTGGCCTGATAGACACAGGAATCACGTATACGGAGTAATGTCAGCGAGGCTTCAACAGGAACAAGTCGAGAGGTTCGGGCTTCACCTTTTCACCCCATTCGTACGAGCGTGTCTTAGCGGCTGGGTAACCACATGCGGCACAAGCTAAAATTGCAGACAGACCAAGGTTGGGCAAGATAATGTCAGTGTGAAGCGGTTGCGAGGAAAGTTCGTGGTGAGCCGTACTTTTCTTCTGCTTGTGGAATGATCGTCGACCACATCGGCGGCAGGAGGTGTGAGTCTTGCTGTGACGCTTACCGAACGAGGAAGTACCTTTCGTCTGTAATTTACCGAGTTCAAATCAAATGTCCATAAGTCTATCAGTGCTCGATCGGGTTAAGGGATGCGGAGTGTGTAGAAACTGGGTGGAAACACCTACCATCTTGAAGCCGTTCGGCGAGTCTTGAAGAGGGTGTTTTGTCGATTGCGGGCAGAGCCTTCTAGTCCCGGTAACCTTCCAAGGAGGGAGGCGGCAGTGTGTGGGGGAAATTTGAAACCTAAGTACAGTCCGCCTAACCTAGTTTTGTGTAACTCATTGTCACGCCGGTACCGTCAATTCGACCACACAGTGTGTGAGTATGAGTGCGCTAGTAACAAACTTTCGACGACGCACCATAGTTCCTAGGACCTCTCTTCCGACAGAGCAGGAATACTTATCAAGATGCAAATTTTCGTCAAGACGTGAGTCCATGCCGATGCCTCCTTTCTACCGCCGGTCCTTTGCACTTCATCCTGGATTCGATTCTTACCTCCATTGCTTGAATTATACACAGCCTTACGGGTAAGACTATCACCCTCGAGGTCGAAGCTGCCGACACGATCGACAATGTGAAGACCAAGATTCAAGAAAAGGAAGGCATTCCACCAGACCAACAACGACTTATCTGTTTGTTCACAATTCATAGCAATCATATCAACCCAAATTATCTGTCTGAAGCTTCATTTTCCTGTAGTCGCCGGTAAGCAACTCGAGGACGGCCGTACTCTTGCTGACTACAACATCCAGAAGGAATCGACTCTTCATTTGGTCTTACGTCTTCGTGGTGGTGCCAAAAAGCGTAAGAAAAAAACCTACACCACGTCAGTTTTCCCTCACCTCGCGACTCCATCAGATTGTGAACTGTGCATTGATGACAACCTGCTTTGTGTCCATCGGTCAACAGACCCAAGAAGATCAAACACAAGCGTAAGAAAGTCAAGATGGCAATCTTGAAGTACTACAAGGTTAGTCTTCAACCTCCTCTTTATTACCGGCATCAACACTGACAATCCATTTCATTCGCAGGTTGACAGCGATGGCAAGATCAAGCGATTGAGACGAGAGTGCCCTGCTGCGTGAGTCATCCATTTCTCCCCCACTTAGGTATACGCATAACTGACACATTTGCACGATGCGGCTGTTTCCTACAGTACATGCGGAGCTGGTGTCTTCATGGCCTGGCACTTTGACCGTCAGTACTGCGGCAAGTGCGGCCTGACTTACCTCTTTGGGGACTCCAACCTCGCTAAGCCCACATAGGCTTGAGCCAACTGTCGCATCAATGCTCCCTCGGCTGGTGTACAATTGTTGATGATCTATGATATATGAATCACCCATACGCTAATGTCATGCGCCCTTCGACCTACATGTCGCGTTAACCGCACAAGCTGGCAAAGGTCCTGATTCGTCCTCTTGCCAATGTGTCCCGCGCCCAACGTTCCCATCGTGTTTAAATTCCGAAAGAGACTGATGTTGACCATTTACCCACCAAGTGCAAGAGAGCCGCCAATGATAAGTGGAAAGATAATACTTGAACTCAATATACGCTCTATAGCTTACAATACAACTGTTATGCCAAACACAATGCCATTGTTTCCGCATGCCTATGAGTTCGACAGGTTTTGCCACTGAGATCGTTTATCTGGTCTGTTTGAATTAGTGAGCAGTTCTTAGCTCCCATCGCAAGCAGACGTCCAATCATCACGGTATGTACTGCAAGTCGACGTGGAAAACAGCCATTGAGGCTTCAACCTGACGTTGGAGTTACAATGCCTCTGCTTGGAGCGGGTTACCTCCTCTCAACAGTTTGCGTCCTTTGCGATGCGAAAAGTGGTTAATGACTGTTAGGCCTCGGCTGGGACCGGAGGCGCTACTGGCCAAGTGTTTGAATGATTGAGCTGATTTGATCTTCGCTGCAAAGACCGACTCGCTGTGCAAACGGTCAATCCGGTCAATTGGATAGAAGCAGAGATATATGCGGGATAAAATGTACCTTGCAACAAGCCTGAAGACAAGGGTATTGCACGCACGCGGCAGCCAGAAATCAGACTTGTGATGATAGCATTTGATTTTGTCGTTGTCTGAGCTGACTTGACAAAGTCCCTTCCCGAGACTGAAGTCTAACTTCCCTCCAAAAACTTGGTTTTGAATCAGGTGAGGAGAAGGTATTCCTTGTAATCGAAGGAAGTATCTCCTTGGAAAAAAATGGCTTTTGATGTGCTATGCACTTGACCATTGCTGAGCTTATAGCATGGTATGATTTCATTCATGATATCACGGAGCCTTGTGCCAGAATTCCGGTATCAGACATCGGATACTTGTCAATTTCATATCTTATATCCTAATTCTATTGAGCAGTCTTCATCACTTTTCAAAAAGACGTGGAACAAAGACCGTCACCCAAGACAATTCAGAAGAAGATTTGAGTAGATCGAATGTTTAAACAAGTTGCCATTGTAGTTTAGCCTACGCAAAGATAATTGGAAAACTATAACACAAGTTGGATCATGGTATTTTAGATTCCTTATCCTCCTTGATCGAAAACTTGCTTTGTCAAAGTAGCGTTACAAGCCATACACGCGTCACCCTGTCCTGACATTGTTGACATAAGGAAGGGTGAATAATAGGTACCAGGTTTCGGAACATGATCTGGATCCGTAAGTTGCTATACATACAGAAATATTGTTGGAAGATCAGTTGAGCGTTGAGCCATTATCAAATCAAATGTGAGTTCGAACGTACCACACCCTCTGGTAATACATAATTGTCGCAATTTGGGGAACCATCATACCCCTTGCCGGCGAACTTCGCGTCATAGCCGGAATTCATTTCGGGCTGAGTCAACTTCGGCGGCAGAATGTTACCCTGTTCGCTGTAAGGTAGAAAGATTGGTTGATAAGTGTTAAAGATATCAAGATATGAAATCGAATGTCTTCAAAGATACATACTCATGAAGACCTGCCAGTGGCTTTTCTTCGCCATCAAGTGGATAGACCTTTCGAAAAGACGTCGATTGAGTCCGGTTGAACAAGTCATGACACTTCAGATGAATGTTTGAGTAGACTTACTACACAAGTACGGCAAATGGCACATGGTGGGTAACTCGGATCATACAGGAACGCGATAGCACTGTTCGAAATCGGTTTGATAAATCATGTTGATCAGTAAGCAGAGGTCTCAAAACCGAACACATTGAAATCAGGATAATGGAAGACATTGGTTTTAGGAAATGATGACTGACTCATAGCAGTCAGCCGCAAATCCTGATAGACGAAGTGTGGTGGTAATAAAGCAGGTCATCATCCCTGGTAATACTGGGGCTTGCCTCTTCTCATGTTTCCTTTTTACAAAAGAAGTCGAGCCGGGATCTTTTTCGAATCCGGAGGATCGCGCAGACAATGTGTCATGGTTGTTGGGTTCACCAAAGATGACAAGGACTTGCGAAAGGATGATAATTGCTACGATGGTTTTCATATTTAGAGATAAGGAATATAGATCATTATTTTGGAACGGAGGAACAGGAATTTATAGGATGGGGATCTAAAATAAACCAGAGGGTAAAAGCAACAGCACGCAAGCCGAAGCCGAGGGCTTTCAGAAATGTCCATTTTCAATTCAGTTGAGACGTTTCTGAAAGGTGTTATTATAACAGATAGGTCGACCGGCGAGGATTAGCTCTCGTCCAAGGTATCAGCTCCACAATAGATGATGATGTAATTACCTATAACAGATAGGTCGACCGGCGAGGATTAGCTCTCGTCCAAGGTATCAGCTCCACAATAGATGATGATGTGGAAGCCGATGCCGAGGAGTCGAGACTATATCTACTCTAGCCTGTACACCGCACGTGACCTGCTGTGGCGCAGTCGTGTACCTACAACTGTCTACAACACCCCCCCCACGACAAGCCACAGACTACCCCTTCACAAAATAAAGAAAACAAAGAACAGTGAAAAAAAATATGAGACTCTCCCAATGACACACATCAACTTATCAAAATGAACCAAAGAGAGAAAAAACAGTAATAAAGAAAAAAATCCTCCACATTCCCTTCCAAAATAAGAAAAAAACAGAAACCACAAATAAAAAATAAATCTATCTCAGACTCAGATTCCTCCTCCCTAGTTCAAAAGGTTGTGGGCCAAGAGCTTTCGTTAGAATGTCTGCCTTTTGATTTTTCGTATCTATCCAGTGCAGCGTTACTGTGCCTTTAAATAGTTGCTCGTTGACGTAGTAGAACTCTCGGTCTGTGTGTCGGGTTCTTTTGTTTGAAGAGTTGTCTTTTGAGACATGTATTGCCGACGTGTTATCACAGAACAAGCTCACAGGACCCATCGCACCAACCACATCACTAACCAGATTTCTCAACCACACTGCCTCCCTTGCTGCTGTACCTAACGCCATATACTCCGCATGACACGTTGAAGTTGCGACGCACCCTTGACGCTTCGAGGTCCATGCCAAAGGACATCCGAGGAAAAACGTCACGAATCCATGAACGGATCTCGAGTATTCGCCTCCCCAGTTTGCGTCGACGTAGGTGTGTAAGCCGGTTTTGACTTCGTTCTTTAATGGATTGAGTATTAATTTGATGCATCCGTTGGTCTTCAGATATCTTAATACGCCTTGAATGGCATCCCAGTGTTGTCTGGTTGGTCGTGCAGAGAATCTAGCTAGAAAGTTAGTTGCGTAAGTTAGGTCAGGCCTCGTAGCTATCGCTAAGTAATTTAGACACCCAATGACTGATAGGTAAGTGGTCTTCTCAATTTGTTCCTCTTCTTCGGTGGGTGAAGTTGGAAGATTCGATGAGTTGAGAGGTGTACTTAGTTTACCAGGTACTTCTAGAAATTCTTCAATAATTTTGTTTGTTAAACCGGCTTGTGATAATTCAAAACTTCCATCATCTAATCTGTTGATATCAATACCAATAATACAGTCCAACTTCTCTGACCATCTAATCTTCAAATCCTTCATCAAAGCTTCTCCGATCTCTCTCAGCAACTCAACACTACTCCCTGTCACCACCCCGTCATCAACGTGAACCCACACAATGCAAATCTCCTCCCCTCGTTTACAAACATAGAGTGATTGATCAAATTGACTCGGCTTAAAACCCAACTTCACTAATATCTTCTCAAAGTGCTTCCACCAACATCTTGCCCCTTGTTTCGTTCCGTACAACGCTTTTACAGCCTCTAAGATCTTGTTAGCTTTCCTTGCTGCATCCATGCACCCCGGAGGAAGTTTGAAATAGATTTTGTTCGTGATGTCACTGTGTAAGTAGGCTGCCGTAACGTCAAAAGAATGAACCTCCCATCCCATTCTTGCCGCTAAGGTTAAAATGAAACGTAGTGATGCGACACACGCTGTAGGTGCAAATGTTTCGTCGTAGTCAATACCCTCTCGTTGATTAAAACCTTGCGCCACCAATCTTGCTTTGAATTTGATTGGTTTCCCCGTTTGATCTAATTGTTTGAATTTAAAAACCCACTTGAGGCCTAGCACATTCACGTTCTCCGGTCTGTCTATCACCTTCCAAACCCCCATCTCTTCCATGGCTGTCAGTTCAACATCAATAGCATTCTTCCATTCATCAGCATGAGTATCTTTCATCGCGGCGTTATAGCTTTTAGGTTCTTTCATACACGCTGATAGATTGATTTGAGAAGTCATTCCTTCAGACTGAGCATCCTCCTCTTGAACTGTACGTTCTCCACTGAAGTCACCTAGCGTAAGCGCGTTGACGATGAACTCGAGACTTCCTTTTTTCGGTGGATTGTTCAGGATTTTGTTGAGAGAGTCGGAATTTGTTGCTTTTGGTGATTCGACAGCTGTATGAACGAATTTGTCTTCGTACGGGAATTCTGCTATGCCAGTCTTGAGTAGGACTTTCGACGCAGGATCATAGAAAAGCCAGCCTTTGCCTCCATCAACATACCCTATCATTACGCATCTACGACCTCGGTCGTCCAATTTGCCATTACGTTGAGCTTCGTGTCGGTGGATAAAGGCTGTCGATCCAAAAGTGCGTATGATGTCGAGTTGTGGTTTACGCCCAAAGAACATCTCGTAAGGTGTTTTATCTCCTGTAAGGGTGTTGGGTGTTCAATTGTGGAGGTAGCACGCTGTCAGATATGCGAAGGACCAAAAAGTTTGTGGGAGATGTGATGCCGCCAGCATCGTTCGTCCCATTTCACTTATCGTTCGATTTAGACATTCTGCAACTCCGTTCTGCTCTGGTTCGTATGGATTAGAATGTTCATGAACGATACCTTTGCCTTTGAGCCAGTTGCTGAAGGTAGTCTTGATGTACTCCCCCCCGCCGTCAGTTCGAACATGCTTCACTTTTAATCCGGTTTCGCGTTCCCAACGGTTGATTACGCGCGTGAAAGCTTCCGGTACGTCAGACTTGTGTTTGAGGATTACAATGTCGGAGAATGTTGTCGCAACGTCTCTGAATGTCACGGTGAAACGATTACCGTTCACATCCTCTGGAAACGGTCCCATCACGTCGGAGACGATGACATCCAGTAGTCCGAGTTCCTGCTCAGAACGGCCCAACTTACGTTGTCGAGTGCTCTTACAGGTCAAGCAGTCTTCACATGTGAATGAAGATGCGGGAATGGATTTGGGAAGACCAAGACCGAGTTGACCATGACATAATTGTCGAATTCTCTTCATGCTAACGTGACCAAAGCGTCTGTGCCACAGATAAGCAATGTCTACATCCTTCTCAGCATTCATGACGTTCACTCTTCCTATCTTCTCAGGTTCTTTCTCATCACAAATCAAGGTTTTCATTGCATTTATCAACCATTTTCTGTCTGCATATTTTGCTACAATTGACTTTCCGTTCAAGAATCTGATGATCATGTCCTTCCCCCAGAACCATAACTTTGCACCCTGCTCCACTAACGCTGCCTGTGAGATCAATGTGTTTGTAGCTTGTGGGCTATAATACACGTCCGTGATTTCGTAATTTGAACCATCTGATGTCTTCACTCGTAACGATCCTTGTCCTACTATGCAAGCGTTATCTCCATGAGCGGCTGTGTTCAACTTGATTGGGGAAGACAGCTTCTCATAGTTGATTAGGGATGACAGGTCGTTGCTCACATGATGAGTAGCGCCGCTGTCCAACAGATATTCTTTGTTGGTCTCGTCAGGTGAGTTACCTTCAGCGCTCCATGCAACGGTCGATGCTGAGATTTGAGAAGGTCCGGATGGTGGTGTTGAAGGAACTTCCAGGTGAGCTTGGTGTGCTGTTACGTTTGGTGCTCCATGGGTGGCTGATCCGTAAACGGCTTTTCTCGTGTACGTCACTCCATTCGAACATTTGACCCAATCATTGAAATGCGGCGCCGTCCTAGCTTGGAAGCGTTGAAACGACGGACAATTGCTCTTGCCGTGACCGAAAGTCGCACAATGGAAGCACTGCCATATTCCTTTGTGTACTTCTTTGCAAGCTGATCTCGGTGGGACGATGGGTGAGGCAACTGTCGCATCTCTGGCTTTCGTGTCTGGAAACATGGGGGGTGGGGGTGGCGCTCCGTGCAAACGTTGTTGTTTACATTTGGAAGATGGGTATGATGAAGACGTATAAGAAGAATTGGAAGGCATGGGGTAAGATGATCTCGGCTTATTCCGTTTAGAGGTATTCAATTTCTGGAATGAGGAAGCTAGGGCTTGTACGTTCATCTTGTTTTCGTTCACGGTTTTGCGGGTGGTGATCACATTTTGAATAGTCGATCTGATTTCGGAAGACGTGAATGATGATTTGTCTGTTCGATAGCGTGCGTCGAGGATCGCGTTGACTACGTCCATACCGTATTCACCCGTCGTAGGTGAGCATAGTTGGTAAACCATACCCTTCACGATATCCTCGTCCCATTTAAAACCAACTGATTTAAGTTTGTCGAAGTTGGTGTTTACTTCGTTTACAAAAGTCATAAGATCAGTCGTTGCAGGATTGAATTGTCGTAACATCAATTTTCTGAAGATAACATATTGAGCGGTTCTTCCTCCTTGATGAAAAAGTTCCTCTAAGGTATGTAAGGCATCGTGAGAGAGGGTCTTCTTATAAATCAAATCTTGCAGTTCCTCCGCGATGGTTGAGTTGATGACTCGTCCGGCACACTTATCGATGGCCATCTCCACTGGGTTGTCCTGATCGACTTTTGATGAGTCCCAGTAACTGGATACACCGGTCATGTCGAAAATGGCACGTTCGGTTCTGAGTTTCCAGCGGGCGAGATTGGTACCGTCGAGTGATAAGTGCTTGATGTTACCCACAAATTTGTGAACATCATCGTGCTTCTTGGTGAGTTCTTTAATTCTTTCGGATAGCAATTCTGACATGTCTGGAGATGAATCTCTTGATTGAAATAAGGTATCTCTACGTTTACGACTAATGAAACTGATGGTTTTATCCGCAGACTCGGAGTCGTACTCTTCGTCGGCAGGTAGGTGAGGTG